ACAAGTAAATGTCCATCAGTAAACTCTGTCAGACCCTGAGAGTTTAGGCACTGTCAGTTGTCTGAGGCTGGTGAGTGTTGCCCTTAAAGATTTAAGAAGAATAAAGAAGAATTCTGGAGAAAGAAAGCTGATTGTTGAGTCTTATTCCTGGATTGTTTGACTAAATTGAAAAGTGTCTTGGAGTGAGCTGCAGAATACAACTAGTTGCATTCGTGCTCCCAGGTCGTCAACCACCGATACTTTGGCAATCCAAAGAAACTCAATTACCTTTCTCCCGAATGAGTGTCAACTGTCACAAACAAATTACGGTAGACAGACAGATTTTTAACTGCTTACCGTCTTTGGAACAGATGTCCGTGATGATATCATCCTTGATGGGCTTCAGAGCATCAAAATCATTGACAAAGAAAGTCCTCTTAGGGTCGCCTGCAATCTCTTGCAAATCATTTTCATCTGCATTTTTCACCCCGATGGCATAAACGGTGACACCCTGCGCCCTCAGCTTTTCTGCAGGAATCTTGACCTCATCCGAGGATTTTCCGTCAGTGATGACCACCAGGTACTCTGGGACTTTGTGACCACGAGTTGCCATCGCTTTAGCAAACTGTGGACCCATGAATTTCAGAGCTCTTCCTGTCTCTGTCCCGCCTCCTATCTGTTTAATACCCTGCACGGCTTTCTTTAATGTCTTAGCATCCGAATAGGTGGTCAGATCGAACTCTAAGTTTGGTGAGTCTGCGTATTTTGCGACCCCCATGCGGACATGTTGTGGCCCGATACGGAAGGTATTTAGAAACTCAATGATGAACTTCTTCATGTCATTGAAGTCCTTGGGGTAAATGCTTCCAGAGTGATCGACCAGGAAGAAGATGTCAGCTTCATCCGTTTGCACACAGCCTGGAAAAAAAAAAGTTATTTTCCCAGTTGTTCACTCTTTTAACGTTAACTTACAAAATGTTCTATGCTATAAATACTGTTGTTGTATATAGGGATGTCCCGATCTAATCTCAAAGGTTGGTACTGGTCCGATCAATGCATTATTAATTATTGCTTATTAACTGATTGGTGTTGGCTATACTGAGCACGAGTGTAGTAGATCAGTAGATCACCTTAGTCTCCTCAGGGACAAATGCGCCCTATTGCTCGCCACCAAACTCCAGAGACAAAAATGCTAATTTTACCTTTCAGAACACGGGAGTTCCTGGTTTTTGATGAACTTTTTGGCTCATATGCCAAACGCAGGTAAACTAACTAGTTACATCTGAAAGCGAATGTTAGCAAACACGTTAATCAATAATTAGCTAGTTAACTAACGTTTTGCTAACATTAACTTTCAGATGTAAAAGATGTTCTAAATGGAATTAAGAGCTTTTTATAAATACAAATTTTAGTTTGGTTGTTTTGTTAAAAGGCATTGCAGAGCTATTCATTGCCAAGCATACAAGTGGATTGATTTTAGTAACTTTAATGTACGTTTGCACTGTGCAACTGGAAAGTATTGGATCCACTCAGATCGGGAACAAAGATCATTTGATCGGGACATCCCTAATGTGTATGGTTGATATTCAAGTAAACAAAGCCAACTATATAAAGGAAACACTGGTTCAGACCTTCTTTGATGCCAGTTCTTCTCGTATTGACTGAGAATGCTTGCCGAATGATATTTTGGCACAGACTTTTCTGCAAGCTCTGCTCCAACGATTTTAGCTTAGCAAAACTGTCCACGATGAACGTGTGCTTATGGTTGGGGTAAGATGCCATCTGTTTCAGCTCGGCCTCGTTGGCGTCCTTGACTCCCACCGCGTAAACACTGACTTCAGCTCGACGGAGATCAGCTGCTGCCGTGCTAACTTCATCCTGGGATTTACCATCTGTGATCACCACCGCCACCTGCTGGACACCCTTATCTTTCCTGCTTCCTCTGGCCTTGATGAAAACACTCTCTAGGGTGAATTTGAGCGCCGCGCCGGTGTTCGTACCGCCCCCATGATAAGGCAGGATTTTGATGAACTTCAGTAGTTCGTCCTTGTCATTGAAGGTGTCAAGGTAGACCTGTGCCGTGGGCCTGTCGTTATACATCACAATGCCCACTCGGACTTTGCTTGGACTGACTTCAAGGCCGCTCACAATCGAGTGCAGGAAAGTGCGCACCAGCTGGAAGTTGGGGGTTCCAATGCTTCCCGACTCGTCAACGATGAACACGATGTCTGCCAGTTTGGCTGCTTTGCAATCTGTGAAAGAGTATTATCATAAAATTAGAATTACAAATTCATTTGTGAGCTACTCAACCATTCAGATACCTTTGAAGATGAAGAAAAGACTGAGACCCTCCTAGGTCCCGTCTTTTTGTTTTGTGTTATTGATCAAGCCCCTGTCACTTTCTACTTTCCTGTGCTCAGATATGCTACATGCTAAGCACATTTATGTTGAAAAGACAGCCAAAATGCTAGCTTAACAGCTAGCGAATCTTTAACTATCAATTAGTTCGCTAACGATTGATGTAGATTCACTTACTAGTTAGCTAGATTTTTGCTAACATTAGCTAACTTAAGATATGACTAGATTAGCAAAACACCAGCTAATTAGATGGCTAAGAATTAATGTTGATTAGCTAGTTACTTTTATCTTTTAACCATCTTTAAAATGTGGTTGTCTTTTCAACATAGATTAGCTTAG